ATAGTGTCTTTATTTGTTTGCACGTGCTTAGTTATGTAGAATATCTTTTTAGCAGACACGTCTTTGTGATGTAAAACTGTTCGGTTTTTCGTCAAGTTGGGCTATTGGATATCGGAATTTAGAATTGAATCGTTTGGAGACAAGTCGCAATTTTATTATCCTTTTAGACGATTTAGGGGACGTTATGTGCATTTGAAGTTGAACGTTGTTATCCTTGCTTTTGTGCTTTGTTTTATTCTAAGTTTATATTAAAACTAAAGTTTTATGATTTATTTTTGTAACTTTTCCTAAATTAAGTCAATTCTAAGTATAAAGCAATGAATATTTTAGGTAAAAGTAATTGAAAACATGGCTATCTCTATAATTTTGAAGTATAGTTGTGAATCTATCAGATTTTATCTATTAACCGATTCAGGTTTTAACTAAAAAGTCGAATAACTATAAAGTAAATAGTTTAAGAATTCAAAGAAAACGACATCGCAACTCCAAGACTTTATCGGCAATCCGCTTACCGTCCGTTTTATGTACCAATATACCAATATGTAACATTGAAATATATTTTGCACTAAACTCCACTTTATCCATATCAAAAAGAAAATGTATACTATATATTAATTCAGATTTTTAGCATAAATACGTGATATTCTTACGTATGTTATTAAGACAATCTTCATTTTCCACGACTTGACAAAAGGATTACTTGATCGGAACTACCGTTAACAAAAATATTTCTTTTTAAAAGAAAAGTATTCATTTCGATTTTTGAAGTGAAACTTCTTTAGAATCGTTGTGATTTGAAACTCGATGAAACGGAAATGCATCACGACAGAGAGACAAATACGTAAATATGTAGGATTGAGTCGGCGAGAATATGAGTTACAATACATCACACAGGAAGTGAAAAATAATACAAATAGTACTGAATAATATGTAATGCAGTATATGTTGAATAAAATGTAAAATAACTTTTAAACTTGGTAAAAATATTATTAAAAATAAATAAATTCTACAATTATCCTACTTCTGATGCTCTATTATAATATTCATCTCATTCTCTCGTAGGTCAGTTTTCTGAAGTTTCACTTCTACCGTGTGTGAATTGCACTCATACACATTTCTTTTTGAAATCTATATATACAACCTTTGAAATACTAATTGTAAGAATAATAAAAATCTATTTTCTATTGGCCATCATTGATGATGTTCTCCTAGCCGATTCCGGCCACGGCGGCCAATCTCAATGAGATTAGCCAACTGCGCAGGAGATATTATAGTGCTCAAGTGTACGCGCAGACACAAGTGCACTCTCTATTCCTATCACTCTCATACTCCGGTGGGACGACCACTCGACACGACCGGTGAGAGTTAAGGCGCAGGACCGACGGCTTTACGTGCTCTCCGAGGTACGGGGGTGAAACACCGCCAACTTCCCAACTCCGGGCTGTTACTGAGACTTACTATACAGGAAGACTCAATAACTAAACTTGGCCCGACCCGGGACTCGAACCCAGGACCTCCGGGTGTGTAGCCGTACATGCTAGCCACTACACCACCGAGGCAGTTTAATGCACCGAGGCCATCATTCATATACCCACAAAACATATATACCAATTATAGAGTATCTTTTTCTTGTGGTCAATTATTTGTCTATGGTGATTTTGACCGACCTCAATAAAAGATAAGCTTTGAAGCCATTAACACGAAAATTGAGCTGAATAAAAGATTCAAGAATAAGAAAGAGAAAAGAAAGGCATATTGAATTGAATCTCCCCCTTTTTAACCGACTTCCAAAAAGGAGGAGGTTCTCAATTCGTCGGAATTATTACTCGAAGACGCCTGAACCGATTTAGATTTTTTTTGTTTCAAAGAGCTCCCAGGTGGTCCCATATAAATTTTATCGAAATCGGTCGAGCGGTTTTTTAAAAATTCAACAATAAATATATTTTTTAAATGAGTTGTTTAATGGAATATGACTTCGAATATATCTGATTAGGTATCTATTCTAAATGAGAACCTCCGTTTAGTTATTTTTTACATTTTAGTGCCTGGAAGTTGGTTTTTATTTTTTATAAAAAGTTTTTATGATCTTCTCCTTTCGATTCCAAAAATATCTTAGTAGCAAGAAATGAATGACGTGTAAACTGGAATCGATGAATTTAATAATTCAATTCAAAATAACAATAAACAAACAGTTAAGTGGTGAAGTTAGTAAAATATTGACGACAATGAGAATTAATTTGAAACCACACATTCATTTCATAAGCGTGACCTAAACAGCTAGATGTCAATCCGATACGAGCGTCGGGAGGAAATTTGTTTCATTTCCGTTAGGAACTGCCAACGCGACTTACTTTCCTGTTATTTTGCCCACACGGATCTCCCACTCTACTCGCTATTATCGTATACAAACCCCAAATATTTTAGTCCAATAGCTTTTTATAAGCTTATAACTTGTCAATTTGTACATTTTATATTGAAGTCAATGTTGCCAGTCAATAAGCTACCAACTACTCAGCATACTTTTCTCGTAGGAAAAGCTAGCAAAAATGCGAGTATTCTACTGTAAGTTAGTTTACAATATAACAATATGTGTTTTTAATTTATTTTGGATATATTATTTCATTATATCAAAAATATATTATAAAGTTAACTTGCGTAAGATACTAGCATACAAGTATATTAATATTCGCACAGAAAAGAAAAAACATTCCACTTTTGATCTACAATATATAACAGCTAACAGTTCTCTGTCGTGTCGTGTTTTTACCATAGGTACTTATTTTATATTATTGCCTTCTTTATAATGAAATCTGTAACATATTTGTCAGTCGTTATGTACAATAGATATGTTAAAATGAACACAACCACGCATATACTCGTAAATACATACGGGTATGTATGTTTTGTAATTTAAATGCCCCAAAACATCGTAACATAATGGATGTAAGTCCAATAAAGAATGGATAATCCCACGACAAGCTTGCTTAAGAAAAGAAAGATTTGCCCTTCAAGTTAATATCAAATTGTAATTTATCACACTATCAGAACAACAGAGCCGAGAAGCAGTGCCAAGATTTATTTAGGGGGAAGATTGCCCTAACACGGATCAGGGGTTAACTTGACGAATTTACATTTTTATCAACAACATTTCACCTTTAATGATTACAAATGTTACTTTAAAATAAATAAATATGTTGGGACATTAACACACAGCACCATAGTAGCACCACACTAGCTCCATGGTAAGCTACGAGGCTTGTGTTATGGATATCAGATAGTTGATACACTACGCTTATATACATTACACGATAACATTAAATACGTGCATATTATAAATATATATAAACGTCCATGACTGGAGTACAAATATTCGTGCTCATCGTACAGATGAATATCCCCAGCGGAACTTGAACCCGCGACCGCTGGCACAGATAGTAGAGTCAACACAAACTATGCCAAACGTGTCATAAAATAAAATTTATATTCAAGTTATTGGGTATAAAACAGTAAAATTCCCAAGGAAGTCAGGAAACTCGTGTAACTATATTTATTTATGGAAAAGTAATTTTCTAAAATAAAATCCGTTATTTTTGAATAAAATATACACACTGTATTTTAATTGTGGTCGTATCACATCTTGTGGTTTAATAGGAATAATTTATATTTTAAATTCATCATTAAGAATATTTGCCTGTGTTCATCATCGTCATCATTTTAACGTCTCACTGCTGGGCATCTCTTCAATACGAGGGGGATCAAGTCATAGTCCACCACGCTGGCCAAGTACGTGCTAGCAGACTGCATATATCTTTCGACAACTGCACCATAAGACAAGTGGTCATCATGTTGGAACTGATTCGCTCATAAAAATTTCAGAGGTGCGACACCCAGGATTTGAACTCGCTTCACTCGGTTTTCCAAGTGAGCGCCTTACCACTGCCCTAATATTTACCTAAATAAAAAGAAAATTTCAAACACCAGTACGCCCTAAAAATTTTAACATTGTATATAAACAATATTTATGTTAATTTTGTCTTTATGTAAAACAAGAAGCATTATTAATTATTGGCGGCGTCATTAGTGCACACTTAATATGCAATATATATGCTAATGACTTTGTTGCAAACTAACCGGGCTCACAAATTAGGGGAACTTGATATTACGTTATTTGTCAGGAAATGACAATACGACATGGATATAGCATTTTCGGAGAATTTTTATTTTTTAGTATGTTTTAATTAAATGTAATGCAATTAATAAGAAATATGTACAAATTATAACATAACTACATAATAAAAATAAATTTAAACATTTTTCTTTATATAAAATGTTTAATTATAATTTTCGTTATATTATGAAAACATAAATATTGATAATTATAGATATTCAAGTTATTAGTACGATTCTATTGGTAAAGAATACAATAATTTAATGTAAATGTTATAGGTAATCAATTATTGCGTATCCATGGCATTAAATTTTTCCAGAATTTATCAATAGAAGCCTATTACATACTGCAAAGTTTCACATTCTTCGCGGTTTGATGTAAGTTTAGAAAGATGCCAGGTACCAAGGGAAGAGTCTTTATACAAAATCAAGGGCATGTACACCAAAAACCACTAAACAGTAAACATCCGTAACAATGTAACACGTCTATCAAAGTTCGGAAGGGTACTCGACGACTAATCGACACAACTAGAAGGGCGGTTAGCGTCAGACAGCCGACTTCCTTTCCCGAGGGACCGCTATACGCGCACAGTGGCTCTCTACCGTCTATCAAGACCACACGGTGGCCAAAAATATATCAGCTTTCACATAAATAAACCTGCTCTTCAAATTTGATCACGGTATGTTATACAAAATGAATGATCATAAAAAATCTGATACTTTGCCATGGTCAAAATTAAGAGCAGCTTTTTTACAGTTCTAGAAAGCACCGGTTTCCCACATTGATCCATTGATGGATTGGACATTGAAATGGTGCAAACAGATCTTTGAAAATGGGAAACTCTAGTGAGAAGAAATCTTGTTTAAATAGTGTAGTGCAATGGTGTTTTTGTGTGTTTACTTTGATAATCTGTGGGTACAGTTTAGTAAGGCAGCAGAGTCTGGAGCAGCGGCTCAAACGACTAGAAGAATGGCATCTACAAACAGAAGATTCGTCATTTATATTTCATCAGCCGAAAGAAGAGATATTGAAGCGAGATACCAGAGATGTAACAGATTGCATATGCCCTCCAGGTAAGTTTAGACTTAATATATATGTAACATATGAATATTACAACAGAATGACTTTTTATTGCCCAAATTTACTTCATTTTTACTGTTTTACTCTTAGTATGCAATTTAAACATTTCCGCGCCAGCTTAATTGTAATGGTCGTTTTCAGTTTGAAAGTACATGTATACAAATAGGCGCATTGAAATTCATTGCTGTTACGTCGAGTGCTCCTGAACTCAATGTGGCAATTAATAAAATTAATTTCGGTTTGCTACCGAACACAATCGGCCACAATCCCGCAGCCGGTCACATCAATGCCTCCCGACACATTGTGTAACTACGACCACTTTGCAATATCCGGCGATAAACTCAATTGGGACACCATCGAACTCTCCCGCGGTCAAAAAAACACCTTGCACTGTTCAATATAAGATCTACTTTGTCTTTCTCCGCGGAAGTCTACTTTAAGTCGATACACAACGCGACGAGACAAATTGTAATGCTCTATTGTCGGAGCCATTACACGTAATGGTTCAATAAGGAGTATTGAAAACGTTCTTTCAGACCGTGACCAGGCCTACAAATCAGCCTAATTCAATTTAAGGGGAAGCTTCGCCGTGTGAAGTGAAGGATGTTGACCCCTGACGGTGACGGATATTAAAAATGACCCCTTAAATTGGTTCACAGATTATCGACACCATATTGCGTGTTTCCGTCGAAGTTCCAATTGGAAATCTAATAAGGCTCGGTTCACGTTGGCGTGCGGATCACGATTTCTCTCAAGATCTTGGTATAGGATTACTGTTTTACTTTAAGTTTATAGTAGTTTAATCATGACTCTACACGTATATTACAATTATTTTTGTTTCGTAATAATTGTGGATATAGAATTCGGTGAAAGTAATACAGTAATGGAAATAGAGCCTTACGCATCATCAAACGCTTCGTTCGGTTAATAGATTTTTCTCAAGTGACCTGAATTGGGGCTGATGAAATTCAACAAAGGGGACTGAATTTTTAGGCGCTAATTACTTTTTATTGTTGGGGACAAATTTGGACTTAATTGTTGAAAATTTATGTAAATTTTCATAGGATTTTACTTATTATCTTCGATATATGGTTATATTTTTATTTTTAGGCAGTGGTAGCCCAGTGGTAATACGCTTGCTTAAGAAACCAAGTGAGGCGGGTTTAAATACCGATCGCACACCTTTGATATTGTCATGTGCGAATCGTTTTCGACATGATTTATTACTTATCTTACGGCAAAGGGAAAAGTTTTATTGCTGTGTGTATGTTTTCCTGAGAGAAACTAGCATGTTTTCGAAAGACATGTGCAGTCCGTCAACCCGTACTTGGCCAGCGTGGTGTACTATGGCATATATCCACTGTCATTGAAGGGATGCCACTGTACAGTAGTGAGACGTTAAAAGGGGCTGTAAACAAATGATATATATGTTAACTAGCATTGCCCGCGGCTCCGCCCGCGTTCAGATGACCAATAACCAAATTCTTAGGCTTTACATATTAGTATACTCTTACATTTCAATTTTTGTATTAATTCTCAGAAATGAGATATTTTCCCGCGGTAAAAAGTATCCTATATGTTGACCCGGATATCATCATCCCAAATTTCATCAAAATCCCTCCAGTGGTTTTTCTGTGATGCGGTAACAGACAGACAAAAATTCTAAAAACTATAGATTCAGCCTCTGTATCGATAACATTGTTTTTTTAAATAAGATTTTCCAAAAAATATTTAATGTACAGATTCGGCTCAGTTAGAATTTTATTATATGTATAGATTATTAAGGTACTATATCAGTATTTTGATCACATAAATTGTTTTAATTTTATTAGCTCGAATGACAAACAAATGATTAAGATTGTTATAACATCATTTTGCAGGTGTACAGGACAGAAGAGTAATTAAAGAGAAACCTTGTCTTTTAATATTAATCTTATAATGTTAAATGAGCGATTCTTGTATATACAATATTATATCATATAAGAGTATATAAATTTATTTTATGTACCTATCTCGGAACGTTTCTAACGACTTGAATAGTTTGGATAAGGTTTTGAATTTTAGTTTATCTACATATATAACTAAATGTCTATTTAAAAAAAACAACTTTTCATATTTTTTTAAATATATGTGCGCCGAATTCAAACTTATCTTCTTATTTTATTTTTTATATTAATACACAGCACCATCTAGTTCAATAGCACAAACCTTCGTAGCTTGGCTTGTGTTATGGATACCAGATAGTTGATACACTGCACATATTATATAACTTTAAATACGTATACGAGTATATTATAAATATAAACACACATGAATGGAGTACAAACATTCGTACTCATCACACAAATGAATGCCCCAAGCGGGACTCAAACCAATGACCGCTGGCACAGCAAGTCAGGTCACTACAAACTAAGCCAAACGTGTCGTCAAATTTATATATTATATATTTATCTTTGGAACTTATACAGATTCACTCTATTTATATAACCTATTTTTTAATTTTAAATAAAACTATCTTTTCAGATTTTTTCCAGGTAGTTTTATTTAAAAATGTCAAAATTTCGCGTAAATCTAAAACAGTATTATTCTTTAATTTTTTATTCAACCCATGAATTTTGATTTTTGTAATAGGTTTAAGGAACATTTTGATAATATTATAGTTTCGACATTATGGTACTATTGTAGTAATAACTTCTAAAATTACAGAACATACAATAAGAATAGTTTTATATACTCGTAGCTCTTAAGGGAGAGATCCACTGTAATTGTTTCATCTTGCAAAGCTGTTATTGCTTTACTTTCGAAGCAATTATTTCTAGTGGTGTTTTTGTACAACTTTTGTATCTGAAGTCTCTGTGGGATAGAGAGCATATTAATTATGTTTATAATATATTTTGATTGAAATGTCTTATGCGAATTTGGTTCTTTTAATGTTAGGTTAATAATTGTGAGTAGGAACTTAGTTTTTGAAAATATTGAATCTGAAGAAATATATTGAAAAAAAATATCCGAATTCTAATATTATAATATTATACTATAGTATACATTTTTCTAGTTGTGTAGAAGGAGGACAGATACAAGGCAGGAGGTCTTGCTTTGCTTTTTGTTGCTTTGCTACCAACTTGAATATGTTAAAGTAAAAATAAAGTTTATGAATAATTTAAAACTTGTGACTTTTTTCACTTTAGACGTAAGATACATTGCAACAGTGAAAATAAGATTAAATTACATAATATGTCCAAAAATCCCTTACTCTACTGTTGCAAGAAGAAAATATAAAAAATCAAGCGCACTTCCGCAATTACACTTTGAGAAGAAAGGTAACATTTACCCATTGTTTTAAATTAAAACAGTAAATTATATACTAATATAGTTCTAAGCAAGCATCCTGTGGTAGACCACTGGGAGCACGCTCGCTTTGGAAACTAAAATCGGGGCCGAACTCCGGGTTCGCACCTTAGAGATTTCCATGTACGAATCTCATTATCACCATGATTACTTCTACTAATATAGTGAAGCACAACATTAAGGAATCTCGCATATCTGAAAAAACCTGTTTTTGAAACATTTTGCCTGCTTCATATTTATGGACTATCGAGCCCTGACATTGAAGGAAGTCAAACGAAGGAAGGTAGGAAGCGTACTTAATATTGAGACGTTACAATAGACTGATATTGGTGATGATCGCTGAAACCTGAATCATTAAAATGTATATGATTACATATACCAACAATTTAACTTGACCATCATTTTGGAAACTAGTTGGCATCTCATTGGGAACAGTGTTTGTAGGACAGTCTTCACTAAGCCTAAACTCTAATCGTATTAGTACTAAAAAATATAATAAGATATATTGGACAAATTGTTTAATAAAAGCACAATAAATATAAATTTGTTGGGATATTAACACAGCATCATCTAGTTCCATGGTAAGCTACGAGGCTTGTATTTGGATGCCAGATAGTTGATAGAATACACATATATAACTTTAAGTAAATATATATTATAAATATAAACACCTAAGACTGGAGTACAAACATTCATGCTCATCACAAAAATGAATGCACCCAGCGGAACTGGAACCCCCGACTGCTGGCAGAGTAAGTAAGACACAGAACTGTGCCAAACGTGTCGTCGAATTATAATAACCGATGGAAGAAAATTTTAACAGAAAAGTGCAAACAGATCTTTCGGGAAAAACATTCTGTAATTGTTTCCTCGCGGTTCTCTTTTTATTGCTTTACTTCGCCAAGTAATTATTATTTGCAAAACTTTTGTTTTAGATTTCCTTAGAGACCTGTGTTGGCGAAGGATTTGATATTACAGATTTTTTAACCAATTTCACAAAAGGAGAAGTTCTTTACTCCGTTTGCCAAAAAATGAACACTGAACTGGTTTGGATAATATAAATATGCCGCTATTAATATAATATACGTGATATCAAAATGAAAAGTTTATATCTAAAAATATATTCTTATTTAAATAAGTAGAGTTATAGGTAACAAAACAAGTAAATATTTGAATTCATAATAACAATAATAACTTACTTAAATGCCTAAATAAATAGCTTATATTCTGTACCGCGACAATCTCTGGTCATAACACGTAAGGTAAAAGCAAAGTAAGAGCGTCAGATACTGTCGATCTAGATTAAGGCGTAGCATACTAATCCCTACCATTTTGATTAAATTACCATAATGAAAACTATATATAATAAATCTATGTGTAATACACATTTTATGAATTTAAATATTCATATTATACTTAATACTTTCCTACGTGCAGTAATCGAACCTGTGATATCCGATTTAGATTATTATTTTTTATTTTTTACAAGTTCAAATCTCTTAATATAATAAAGTCGAATTCGCTCGCCAAGATAATCTCTGAGACGAGAGTCATGGAGCCGTGAAATACGTCTACGAATGGAAGAAAACGCATTAGAACAGGTCTGAGAGATGAGAGAAAAATGTCGCTATATTATAATCTATCTATACATATAATAAAATTCTAACTGAGTCGAATCTGTACATTAAATATTTTTTTGAAAATGTTATTGAAATAGTCATTATTATCGATACAGAGGCCGAATCTATTGTTTTTAGAATTTTCGTCTGTCTGTCTGTCTGGGAACGTATCACGAGAAAACTACTGAACCGATTTTAATGAATTTTGGTACGATGATAGCTGGTTATCCAGGTCAACATATAGGATACTTTTTACTGCTAAAAAATATATAATATGTAAGAAATTTATAATAACCGTTAAAACGTAACTAGGACGAACCCGAGCGAAGAGAGTGCGATTTGCTAGTATTTAATAATATAAAATAATAAATAAAATAAAATACTAATGACCTGTTGTAGTCTCACTCAGGTCCATGCACCTTTTAGTAATTTTTAGTTAGCTTTTCAGACAGTGATGTAACTTTGATGAGTTATTATGGTGTGTCTGGCCATTGCGAGATCTATGGTCAGACATAGACCATGTCCTATATACTCGTATATCTGAAAAGCAAATATGTATTTTTCTGTAATATATTTTTCACTAAGCTATTTATCAAGTTTTGGGGACTAATGCGTGGAATCTTAGGCAGGTTTTTGAACTAGTACTATTTACATGCGATACTATAGGAACATAAATTGTGTGGGTGATTCGAGATTTTTAAGTCTAAATATAATATATTTATTATTAATATATAATGTACATGTATGTGTTTTACTTATGTTGTTTAGAAAAGTTCGTATAAATGACATATCAGTACCTTATACTCCTTTGTTTGTCAACCGATTTTCTTTTTTTTAGTTTAGTAGCTGTTGAGGATCTTTAGTGTTATCAACAAAAAAAAATGGAAATAGTTTTTTTATGTATATATGTAGGTAAATTCAATACATATATGTCTTCCTGAAATTTTCAACTATGATTACTACTAAGCAACACTTGTAAAGTATGAAAGCTACAGAGAGATCTATGAAGAACTTGTAGCAGTAAAAAATAATTGCATTAACTCAATCAGTAATCGAACTCTTGTCATTTTGCAAAGTATTCCGGATCCCGGTATAAGTTCAGTCCTATATAAAAAGTGTATAAGTTGACTAATTTAACTTTTTCTTCGCTTTAACGATTAGTCGCCGGGAGCAAAAAATTGCTTTGTTATTCAGTGAAGCAGTGATAATATAGGTATTTCAATAAATTTAATCTTTTAAATAATATTCTTGCAATTGAACTGTAATTAAATAGGCAATGTATAATCTTATATATAAAATTTCCATGTCACAATGTTTGTTACCGTACTCCTCCGAAACGGCTTTACCGATTTTTACCAAATTTTATATGCGTATTCAGTAGGTCTGAGAATCGGCTACTCTCTATTTTCCATGCCCCTAAGTGATAAGGGTGGACCACGTTAGGGACAAACCCGAGCGGAGCAAGGGTGAGTCGCTAGTGTTAGTATACGATATTAACTTACAGCAAATATTATACATGTATTCAGCCCTTTTTAATATCTCACTTCTAATCACAGGCCTCCTTTCAATGCGGTCAGAAATAGACCATAGTCCATCACGGTTCCAAGATAGATTTGGTCTTCCGAAAATTAGATAGGTTCTTTTAGAGATGCATTGCTTTAAATGTTTTTCCATCACCATAATCATGTAGGGCAAGTGGTACCTACCTATGTTGAAAATGATTCGTACATGAAATTAACAGACGTGCAAGACTCGGGGCTTGAACCCGCTTCATTTGGTTTTCCAAGTGAGCAATACCACTGATCTATAATGCCTCGTACTACATTTAAAAGGGGTAAATATTATTCTGAACAATAAATTGTAGTATAAATAGTTCCATATAAAAAAACATTACATCGCACTATTTTTAAAATTACCTCCAAGTTGGTATATTTCTTAAAAGAAATAAAAATAATAAGCTGTCATTGGGCTACAGACTAAATAAAGTATCTAATATTCACCAAAGTTCAATATAAATAAAAGATGAAGCAATATTATGGTACAGTCCTTCGAAGGATGAGTTGACAAAAACATAAATAACTTATTTCCATCCAACAATATACAATAACTGTTATTTTCATATAATAAGAACAATCGTTCTTGGTTTTGTGCCAAGAGGAAAGATTCTGATAAATTAAGGCTGAATTTCTATTGTCGAGTATATAAATGATGGAAGCATATAATATAGGTAATAAATTTTACAAGCTCATAATAACTTTTGTTCTAAAAATATCAAAAC